ACAGATATTGAGGGACTGTGGGTTCATGTTACATGTGCCTGGTTTCAGCCTAAAGTCTCTTTTCCGGTTGAGGAGACTATGGAGCCAGCTATGGGAATAATGAGCATCCCTGTAGAGTACTTTAAGAAGGTTGAGATTTTTAATTGATATTTTCACAATTTGCATCCAAAATCTTAATTCCTGTGCTTTCCATTCAAATTTCACCTAATATTTGCATTTTTTCATATTAACTGCAGACTTGTGTCATATGCAAGCAAATGCATGGTGCCTGCACAGAATGCTACAAGTGCTCTACGTATTACCACGCAATGTGTGCATCAAGAGCTGGATATCGCATGGAGGTTGAATACTTCGCATTTTATAGTGACTATTTTTGATGAAAAAGATTGTGTGTTTCCTTGTTTCATTAATTTACATTGCTTCATCCTTATGCAAAATGTTATTGACGTATGATGTACAGTTTTTGTGCCCTGTCCGCTTATTAGGTTGATATTATATTATTGTCAGGCAGTGTCTCAAACTGTATGGTGGTATTGTTAACCATCATTATTTTGTTGTGTAAAATCTACCTTTTTTTTTGCATGTTTCGTTTTTTTTTTATTATTGCCTAAATAGTTCCATTGCAGCTAGGTTTTAGAGTAATTTAAACATGATTTGTACATTTGTTCAAAATGAAATATTTATTTGCTATCCATATTTTTAGACAGGTCATTAAACTGTGAACTTTTTGTTCTTGTAGCTGCAATACTCTGAAAGAAGTGGCAGGCACATTACAAAAATGGTTTCCTACTGTGATTTTCATAGGTAACATTTTCGTTCCAATCCCAGTTTATCTTTTGTTCTGGTCAAATCATTTCAGTTCACTTGGTGGTTCTTTTTGTTTATTTATATACAAAAGTAACTCTAATGTAGGGTCACAACCATGTAGATGTGTTCTTTCAGGCCTTTTTCATAGTGATCTTATAACAAGTAAAAGTGGCAATATACCCTGAAGTAGTAAATACCACAAATATATGCGGCTGACACCTGATATGCAATTGTTTCCCCTTCTGTAGTACTCCTGACCCAGACAATGTGTTGACAATGAAGACACCTGAAGGTGTTTTCTCTACCAATTTTTTTCTCCAAAATGGTGAGAAACAGACAGCTGCAAGACTCGTCAGGAAGGAAAATCACCAGGAGAAAGTGCTTCCTCCTATAGTTTCTGACTGTCTAGTCGCAAAGTGCCTGACCTATGAAATGTTGAAATACAAGGTAGTTTTCTTGCATCTGCTTATTGCTCTTAATTGTCTTCATTCCTAATTTTTGAGAAAAGATGGTGCTTATTGTCATGGATGAATTTTGAATTCTTTTTTAAACATTCACTTTTACTAATTATTTCCTAGCACATCAGTTGTATATTACATACTTTCTTTCACTCTCGTAATTTCTTTGTTGTTCAACTACTTGGCTTGTTTGCTGGTTCAAGAATAAACTCTTAGTGGCAGTTGGTTTTGTCAATTGCTTGTATTTGGAACAACTGGTTCTCTAGCATTGGTATCAATCATTTTACATGCATGAATGCATCACACATGCTTTCTTATCATTGAGCATTGTTGCAATTACTGCTAGTTTATTGTGTCCTATGGATCTTTGTCTTGGTCTCATTTTTGGTTCCTGCTGTTAAGCCTTTAGGGCTATTGTACTAAAAAACAGTAAATACTAATTACTAAGTTATCTCCATTTTTCAGAAAGAACCAGGAGAGGCTATTGCCCACCGGATTATGGGACCTCGACACCACTCCCAGGATTTTATTGATGGCCTTAATGCGTGCATGGTAATTGTCTCATTCTGAGTGCTAGCACTCTCGAGCGTGAATGCAGATTCATTTATTCACCTTATTATTTCCTGTTCCTTGTTAACAGGATCGTAAGGATGATCAATCTCTTTCAACATTTAAAGAGCGGCTTGAGTATTTACAGGTTAAGTCTCTGAGTAACTGCTGTTCATTAGATACTACAAGGTTGTGTCAGCACACTGATAAACAAACTGATGGTTGCAGAAAACTGAAAATTTGAGGGTCTCTTGTGGTCGATCTGGAATTCATGGATGGGGGCTCTTTGCTGCAAGGAATATTCAGGAGGGGCAAATGGTATAGCATGTTGACTTGTATTATCTATATTATGTTTAGTTATTTGCATAGCTTATCCAGTCAGTTCATTAGGTATATCAAATAATCAATGATGACATTTGAAGAACATGCAGATATGGCATTAATGTGTGCTCAAAATCTAAGAAAACAAGTTAATTTTTTATCATTAGGTAGGTTAGGTGTCCCAAATAACCTTTTCATGTGTCTAGGCAACAGGAGTGCAGTTGGTAATCTGTGAGCTTGTGTTCCATCAAATGAATATTGACTGCTTGGCATTGATATATGATATCTATATATCCAGAGATGGACATACCTCTCAGGGGGTGTCTGAATGAGGGAAGTTGCTCCTGACATTAATTTTAGGACTTCACATCAGATTTAAATCCTAGTGTGCTCGAAATCCCACCTTCCCAAGCAGGCCCCAAATGAAATGATTCTGTAATTTACTACTCCCTCTGTTCACAAATGTCTGCATTCCTAACATTTAAAGTTTGTCCACAAATGTATGCATTTTTACCTAATTTATGCATCCCCTCCCTCACCATTAAATTGATGGCTTGATGCCTGCCATTTATAGCCTTGGTTATATGAAAAGGCAGGTGTTAACTGTGTGATTGAGGGGCATCATAGTTATTTACCCTCCGCTTTAATCTGTGGATGGAGATAGCATGGCTCTTAAGGTGTCAGCTAGGCGCTCCCTGGGGTCAAGTTGTCTCCCCTATAGCTACAAGAGGGGAGAAGATGTGCCATCGGTGTTGGGCTCTGTTTTGTGCTTCTTCCATCCTAGGCTCTGGCGTGATGGCTGACACAGCTCTGCCTGCAATCTCCAGCGCAATGGCCTGCGCAGATCTACCCTGCCTTTTTTTTTTGGGGGGGTGGGGTGGGGGTCAAGCAGGGCTCCATTCTTGAGAGGTAGGGAGCGTGAGATGGGAACCTGAGGGGAGGGGTCATTGTGGGCTGCTGACTTGGGTTGGGCTTTAATAGGCTAGTAGGCTCATTTGCTGTTGTGGTTATAGCCCATTGAGGGGGTTTTTTGTTCCTTTCCTTTTTTATTTATCTGTATGTATGGCACTATTGGCGTCCGCCTTGCCTGCCTTCCCGCCATGCCTTAACTGCCTAGGTGATGAGCATGGTGAGTTGCTATGCCTTGCCTTAATGCTTTAAGAACCATGGGAGGGAGTATTTGTTTCTCAGTTGAGTATTCAGCTTAATAAACCCCCCCAAATAGATCTCATTTGTCTCAGCAACTGATAATCGGTGCTAACATTTATATCCATACAATACAATTGTATCCCTATTTTTCTAGAATTGCTTGGTCTCCATTCATTGCAAGTGTGGAGTTCGTCCTTAATGTGCCATCTGACCGCTTTCTCTAATGCAATGGTGCCCAGTTCTACTCGTTTGGGAAATAAAATGTGAGCTGACAGCTTAATTAATCTTGTGCCAGGTTATTGAGTATCGTGGTGAACAAGTTAGGCGGTGTGTTGCTGATTTGAGGGAAGCACAGTACCATAAAGAAAAAATGGATTGCTATGTGAGTTATCACTTATTGTGCTTACATGTATTGCTACTGCCTGCTATTAGTGGGAAAATAGATACTTAGATAGAATTTACTGATTGCTATACTTGCTTCAAGTTTTGAGGTTTACAATACAAATCTAGTTAAAAAGTTCTAGGAAGAGCATATATATAGAAGAATAGAAACTTGAAGTCTTGAATTTTGGTGAAAACATAAGAGGCTGCAGAAGCAATTTGTTGTAATAAGAAAGAGCATAACCTATGTATGGTTGATACCAAACATTTGGCATCCCCTCTTTTTCATTGACTCTCTTTTGTTCTGTGGTGCTTGTGCAGTTGTTCAAGATAAGTGAAGATGTTGTCATCGATGCCACTGACAAAGGAAACATAGCACGCCTAATTAATCACTCGGTAAACCTTCATACGTCAATTTTGCATCTTCTTGCCATATGTAACAGCCTGACAAAATGACAACTAAGTTTTCGTTTTGCTCTTTCAGTGTATGCCAAACTGCTATGCTAGGATCATGACTGTCAGTGGTGACAGGAACCAGATCATTCTTATTGCCAAGAGAGATGTCTCTGCTGGAGAAGAACTGACGTAATTCCTCAGCTCTGCCCTTTTCTTCTGACATGTACACAACTTCTGAAATTTCATTGGCACGAGATCCTGAATGATACCGTTTCATCTAATGCTGGTTCTGAACGTGCAGGTATGACTACTTGTTTGACCCTGACGAATCCGAAGACTGCAAGGTTCCATGCCTGTGCAAAGCTCCTAACTGTCGTGGATACATGAACTAGAAGGCTAGAAGAGTAGACAGATCCCACAAACAGGGACTAAGACAGAAGCCAAAAGCCGGCCAATTTTCCCAGAATTCTTTCGTTAGTTTCTCGTTTTATATTACTCAATCAAAAAGTTTATAATTCGTGGCTACCCAAGGTTTGAACCATTTTGTTTAGAATTGCGATTTAGGGCAGCCATAGTTAGTCATCCATTGTAAATTCTTTCATTGCTGTAATAAGATAGTATAAGAATGTTGACTTTTAAATGAAAAGAAGAAAACTCAATTTGATACTATCGCCTGCCTGTGTCTGACATTTTTAACCACTCGCTCTGACCTTTCTGAACAACCCCATCGTGTCCATGTCTGCATCAGAGGACCTGATCAAACCGAGGTACTGGTACTAATCTTGCTTCTTGCCGCCCAATCCATCGTCATCCATGCTTGTTTTACCGAGCCGACAGGTCGTGTCCCCGTCCGACGACCCGGTCCGCACACGAGAGTTTAGACGGGCGAGCAGGGGCAGGTCGGCCGTCGACACGGATTGAAGCCACCGTCGCGGCACCATGAGGCGTCGGCTGTTGCTGGCGTGCCTGGCTCTGCTGGCGCTCGCGGTTGCGGCGCCGCGGGCGGCCATGGCCCGGGAGTACGCGGCCGTGTTCAGCTTCGGGGACTCCCTGTCGGACACCGGCAACCTCTGCGTGGACGGCATCCCGGACTACCTGGCCACGGCGCGCTCGCCGTACGGCATGACCTACTTCGGCTACCCCACGGGGCGCGTCTCCGACGGCCGCGTCGTCATCGACTTCATCGGTAGGCAACGCACGCATGCGCTTTCCCGTTCCCGAGCACGAGTGCGCGCAGGAGCTGATGAACCGTGTCTGTCTGTCTGTCGTCTGCATGAGTGGGGAGCAGCGCAGGAGCTGGGGCTGCCGCTGCTGCCGCCGTCCAAGGCGAAGAACGCGACGTTCCACCGCGGCGCCAACTTCGCCATCACGGGCGCCACGGCGCTGGGCATGGACTTCTTCGAGGAGCACGGGCTGGCGCGCGCCGTGTGGAGCTCCGGCTCCCTGCACACCCAGATCGGGTGGTTCCGGGACATGAAGCCCAGCATCTGCAGCTCCCCGCAAGGTTTCCATGCATTCTTCTCCGATGGCCGACCTGACATCCTTCACACACTTATGGCGTGGCTGACGCATGATGTACATATATACCAGAGTGCCGGGAGCTGTTCCGGCGGTCGCTGTTCGTGGTGGGCGAGTTCGGGGGCAACGACTACGGGTCGACGATCTTCTCCTTCCGGCCACTGGAGGAGGTGCACGCGCTGGTGCCGCACGTGGTGGGCGCCATCGCGCGGGGCGTGGAGGAGCTGATCGCGGAGGGCGCCGTGGACCTAGTGGTGCCGGGGCTGCTGCCCACCGGCTGCTTCCCCATGTTCCTGTCCACGTTCAGCGACAAGCCGGCCGCGGCGTACGGGCCCCGGAGCGGGTGCGTCAAGGAGCTCAACACGCTGTCGTGGGTGCACAACGCCGCGCTGCAGCGCAAGGTCGAGGAGCTCCGCGCCAGGCACCCCGCCGTGCGCATCGTCTACGCTGACTACTACACGCCCGCCATCCAGTTCATCCTCCACGCCGAGGAGTACGGTGAGCGCATATATATTGTTCGATGCTGTGGTCCCTCCTCCTCCTCCAGCTGTCTCTTCCCCGGCGCCGGGCCGGCGGCGCCCCCGTGGCCACGGCAGTTGTTTGCCTCTAAGGTTGATGCAAGTTCGGTTCCTTACGTCAGCGCGGGTAGCTCCCGTGTCAGCGGCTAGCAGCCCGGGCCGGGAGACAGTGAGTCCGAGGAAAAAAAATCCACAGGGGTGACGCAGGCAGGGACGACGCGTGCGTTTCTGGGCGAACAGCAAACCGCAGGGTGGTTGGGTATCTGAAGCGAGGTTTCGTGTTTGAACGGTCACGAGAGAATACCATAGGAAAAGAAAGGGTGCATTGCCGGTCCGGATCGGAGTTTTCCAGCGGGCTTCGCTGGCCGGCCGGCAGCGGCTGACGAGTGACGACTGAGGAACGCCGGCGGCGGCTGCGTGCTGGTCTCGCTCTCGCTCTGGCGACGTGGCGGAGCTTGCCTCGCGTTGCATACGTCGGCTGAAGGTGATCGAAGGTGACACTGACACCTAACTAAAGGTGATGTAACTGAGTAATCAACAGACGGAGTGATGACGAACACGAACCCTCTGTCGTCCGGCCGGCAGGTCCCCACAAAGGCTTTAGGCTTCGGCCTCTGCTCTGCTCTTTCGCCGCATGTTCTGAACTTCTGATGGTCGTTTTTTGCGCAGGGATGCTGAAACAGATGCCGCGAGCCTGCTGCGGTGCGGCGGGCGTGGGGGAGTACAACTTCAACCTGACGTCCAAGTGCGGCGAGGCAGGGGCGTACGCGTGCCAGGACCCTTCCAACCACTGGAGCTGGGACGGCGCCCACCTGACCGAGGCAGCCTACGGCCACATCGCCAAAGGCTGGCTCTACGGGCCTTTCGCTGACCCACCAATCCTCCACCCCTGAGGTTTCTCTGCAGTCTCCACAGCCGCCGTCAAAGGCTGTAACATCCTCCACATACGGATACGGTACGAACGGCCGGTACCGTATATATATACACACATACAAATAGGCGCCTTTGTACGCATCAATCACTGTAGCTGTGAATTGTTTCCTACGTATATCCTTTTTTCTTTCTAATATAGAGTAACTTTGTAAAACATCCTATGGCAGCATGTATACAGTATAGTACCGCCGACTATTTTGTCGTTTCATGTGGTATATATATACTGCAAAGCTCAAACTCAGTAAGCTATTTTATATAGTGTATGGGTTTTTATGCTGCAAATATTGATTTGTGTCCATCTCAGCTGACTATAGCATTGGGCCTGCCTGACAGGCATGGCGGCATGGTCAGGGCGTGTGGTGTGTTTGAAAACTCAGAGGACTCATATTTTAGTTTCGCATAAGAATTTTTGTTGTGCTCATATTACTTTTTTTTATATAAATTTTACATAAGTTTGTAAAGAGCAAGGATGCCCAAAGCAGAAGCCACCGCACTGAACGCCCTAGCAGTGGTGTTCCTCACATACTCATCAATGTTATAATGTTATCAATATCCGGTCTCATGGCAGCAATCATACACTCTGTTCGTTTGGCTGGTTTGGCTTATAAGCCATGGCTGAAAGTACTGTTGGCTGGTTTGGTGTGAGAGAAAAATATTATTCGTTGGTTGATAAGCCATGACTTATAAGCCAGATACGAGCAAGCAAACAGGCTAACAGTAGCAAGACCAGCTGCTTTGCTAAGATTCGAGATATTCTCCCTGCCCTCAACACGAGCATAGTAGTCCTCATCAATCAACAACGGTTCAATAACCACAAGAATCTTGTGCACAAAGGGACGGACCAACTCATCCAGCTTATATAGTACCCTGTCAATAACCTTCACCAGGAGGTGCCTCTCCTGGTCCTCCAGTGTTGGCTGCATGAGTAAGGGCAGGATTTTGTTGAAAAGTGGTCCGGCACCGAATTCTCGGGCTTTGTCTGTCAGCTGCCGAAGTGCCGTTTTACGCTGTGGGGGTGTGCCATTCTTCACTTTGAGCAACAGTTTCATGATTTTCCTCTCCTTCTGCTCCTCTGGAGATAGCTGTTCCTCCTCTTCCTCATTCAGCAGTGCTCCAAAGTATTGGTAATCCTCCGGCTTCATGAGCGGTGATCCAACAGTCGTCTCCTTGGGCAGATCAAAATGCTGCCCACGATTCTCCTCTGGAATAGCATAAAGTGGTGTCCCCAGAGGTGTTGTGTGGCAGGCAGCTTCCTTGCCGGGGTCCTTATGGGCTGGTAGGAAGCCGGGGGCTCAAGAATCTTGTACCCCTCCTGCGGGAACATGGCATCAAGCTCCTCATCGGTGAGAGGTCTGTTCCTCTCCTGAATGTCCTGCTGCCACCGGGATTGGTTGTACAGGTCCAGAGTCATAGGTCCACGAGCGATCTGGCTAGGAGTTGGTGTGGCAAGGTTGTCCGCACGACCACCGGGGGTTGCACTGCCCATACTGGCTGGCGTCTCATCCCACCTTGATCTCTGCTTCTTACCAGGGGTTGGCGTGACACCACCAGGCAGCTTTGGGGTCGCATCCCAAGCCCCGGAAGGAGTGGCCCCAGGGGTCGCGCCGCCAGCTGCAGGCGTCGCATCAGCATCAGCCATCCTCCCTGGAGTTGGTGTCTCATCCCATCTGTTCCTTCTCACGGAAGGTGTCGCATCTCCGACGCATCCAGGGGTGGCATCCCAACGCCCAATCCCAGGAGTCCCGTCAGGGGCATCCCAATCCGACAATGCCTTTGCCTTCTTGGCACCGGCAGCAGCATTGCCTTCCTACAACTGATCCCACCTGTTGCGCCGCTTCTTCGTCGTGGCGGCCTTCCTCTCCTCCTCTTCCTTCTTCTTAGCAATCTCCCTCAGCAGGTCCTCCTTCTTCTTCTGCAGCGCGGCATCGCGCATGACGTCGGCGTAGGTCCGCACCGCGGGGTCCGGGGTGGCCTCCCCAGCGGCGAACGGGTCATGGCGCTCCGGCGAGATGATCTGGTTGAGGCAGCGGCGGCGGTAGTCGTCCTCGCGGTCGATGATGCGCTGGGACCGCTTGGGCAGCCCGAGACCGTCGTCGCCGCCGTCGGCCGAGGGCGGGAGGTCGGCGGCGGCGATGGCGTGGCCCGTGTAGGTCGCGAGCCGGCGCGGCGCTGGGGCGGCGGCCTCGTCCTCCGCGGCGGCGTCCTCGGAGGCCGGGATGGAGGTGTCGTAGCCGGCGAAGCGGTCCGGGTCGGCGCCCCCGCCGCCGTAGAGGTCGGTGTCGAAGGTGACGGAGGACACGGCCATGGGCGCGCCGGCCGCCAGCGCCTCCTCCACCTTGCGCCGCTCCTCCTGCGCGCGCGCGAGCTCCGCGTCGATCGCGTCCATGGCGGCGGCGCGGGCGCGGGTTAGCTAGGGTTTAGTGGAGGAAGGGGACGATGATCGATGTCGAAATCCATTTTCCTTTGCTGCGGCGGATTTGTTATCCGGGATCACGATAGCCGCGGCGGATTCTGGTCGTTATTTATTTATTTATTTATTTTGACAACGAGATTCTGGTGGGTTACGCGCCTCCGAGGAGAAGCCGGTTTAGCTGGTTGCTGCGGCAATGTCTCCCCAGGTCATCGTGGAGACGGACATAAAGGATCCCTTTGTTGCAGATTTTTGTTGGCTTATTAACAAAAAAAATTCAGCTGGTTTTTGAAAAGTTATAAAAACTATTTTTTAGAAAAATACTGAAAACATATTAACATAAACTTTTTGATTTTTGATATGCTGAAAAACTAAAATTTTATTAAATAAAAAAACAATAAAATAACCTAACACCTAGAAGCCAAAAGCTAAGCCCTTGTTTAGTTCCATGAATTTAGAATTTGGGGTTACTGTAGCACCTTCGTTTTTATTTGGCAATTATTGTTCAAACATGGACTAAGTAGACTCAAAACGTTCGTCTCGCAATTTCCCACCAAACTGTGCAATTAGTTTTTTTTTCGTCTACATTTAATGCTCCATGCATGAGCCGCAAACATTCGATGTGACAGGTACTGTAGCACTTTTTGGGATTTTGGACTCCAACTAAACAAGAGCTAACTTTTGGGCCAAAAGCCGGTTTATGCCAAAAGGCCAAAAACTAGCAGCCTGTTCGTTTGGCTGGGCTCGTTCGTTACTGGATCGTGAAGAAGTACTGCTGACTGGTTTGATGTGAAAGAAAAATACTGTTCCAACTGGAAATTTACGATCGTTTACGACCATATAAGCCCAGCCGAACAGGCTGTACACTAAGAAGACTCCTTTGCTCATTTGCCAGGAGGGGTATCTTTCATATGAAATAATATACGTGAGCTTCGACATATAAATTTTAGGTTGCATATTATCTCTATATATAATTCTATGTTCTGAACTTCTTATAATACAGTTGCACATGACGGGCTTATAAATATTAAAAAGTCAATTTTCCATCATGTTTTTAAATTAAATTAAATTAATTCACCTACACATCTGCACGTTTTCAAATACTAGGGTTTGGCCATGTGTTGCTATGAGTATGTCTCTATAATTTTAAATTCTACTCCTAGCAAACAATTATTTATTCATATTGCCTCGTTTCTGTTGCCTCTTTTATTTTTCTTGTTTATTGGCCTCGTTCGGCTTATCCTATATTCGGCTTATTTTTTTTAGCCAGAAAAGTGTTTCTCAGTCAGCTTCAGCCAAGATTCAGCAAGCCGAACGGGGCCATTCTTTCCGTAGAATCAATCGGCGGTGATTTGAATATACAAATTGAAGATTCAAGAGTATTAGTATAGTTTAAATATTACCATTTATATTTGAGAAGTGCCAATTATAAATGAGATTGACATATCTTATGATAACAAGCGACAAGATGCTGCAAATCCTTATAACCCTAACCGTAATGCTAATGTATCAAGCATTGATCATAGTGATAGTGTATTGTGGCAGAAGCTGATGAAGCCCGTAACAAATAGCTCCGTCGAGCATTGGCTGGCTCTTCCATATGTAGTTTATTTTTGGGCTATCCAAGAGAGCGCTTCTTCTTTATTACAGTAATATCTTCTCCTCTCTACCCAGTGTATACTATCCGGTCACAAAAGCTACACTACCCGGCCAAGTCCACAAACATGTACAGAGTCCGTGTCTGAGCCAATTCTTAGCTCGTGTCGGAGACGGTCGACAGCCTTGGTGGACTAGAAAAATCTCCGTAAAAAAAACGCGAACAATCGCCTGTTCTCCCTCACCCTCGTACGCCGTCAGTCGGACCCAAAAGGCTGGGCATGCTGCCATCCTGCAGTCCGCCACGGCGTTCAATGCATGCAGACCACATCAGCAAGGTCCACATCACGATATCCTCTATAGGCCCTGTTCGTTTGGAGAAATCTAGATGAATCTGGAAGAATTTATGAGAGTAAAGCAGCCGTGAACAGTGAAATTTTTGCACCAGCCGAACGGGCCATAGTTGGCCAAGTGGGCCAGGCATGATGGTGAAAGCTCTAGTTTGGTTTTGGTGAATTGATGGAACCCTAAATGCTAACCTAGTTTATCAAAGTGATCATAAGATATGTAGCACATTCTAAGTAATGGAGAAAGTGGTGAAGATCATGATGATGGTGTGACCATGGTGATGATCAAGTGCTCGGCTTGGAAAAGAAGACAGAAAAATAAAAAGCTCAAGGCAAAGGTAAAATTTGATAGGAGTTTTTTTGGTTTAGTGATCGAGACACTTAGCAAGTGTGATTACATTTAGGATCGATAGTCGTACTATTAAGAGGGGTGAAACTCGTATCGAAATGCGGTTGTCATAGTGCCACTAGATGCTCTAACTCATTGTATATGCATTTAGATTCTAGTGAAGTGCTAACACCCTTGGAAATGTCTGTGAAAATATACTAACACACATGCACAAGGTGATACACTTGGTGGTTGGCACATTTGATTAAGGGTGGCAAAGTTGGAGTTGAGAAGGGGCTGTCTAGAGGTGACCGGACGCTATTCTAGCAGCGACCGGACTCAGCAGTCGCGTCCGGTCAGTGGCGCGCAGTGAAGGCCGCCCTCGGTCCTTTGACCAGATGCTAAACAGTGAAAGTGTCCGGACGCGCAGGGCCTGCGTCTGGTCAGACTATGACATACGCTGACGCAAGCATCAGAGTGAGGCAGTGGTGACCGGACTCACCGACGCGTCCGGTCATACGTGACCTGACGCGTCTGGTCGCGATTTTGCCTCTCTGGATGCTTACTGAAAGTGACCAGACTTCAGGTGAGGGTGCGTCCGGTCATCTCCGTAGTGTGTCCGGTCTTGACTTAACCGCGCGAGTGATCAAGTTGACCATTTGGATCGTGCGGTGCTCGTTGAACCGCGGTGACACATGGCAGCGGATCAGCGACTGAACTCTGAGGTGGTGCGTCTGATCAAACCGACCGGCGCGTCCGGTCGTGTTGTGGAAGTTGACAGCAGAGAGCCAACGACTCTATTTCGAGGGGACGCTTATATAAGGTGTTTGGCCAGCTCTAGCTCATACTCTTGGCCATTTGCATTGACATAGCAACTTTGTGAGCTTAGCCAAAGCCCTCCCACTCATCTCCATCATCGATTCATCATCTCTGTGAGATTGGGAGTGAATCTAAGTGCATTGCTTGAGTGATTGCATCTAGAGGCACTTGGTGTCCGTGTTTCGCTGCGAGATTCGCTTGTTACTGTTGGTGGTTGGCGCCACCTAGATGGCTTAGAGCAGCGAGGATCGTCGAGCAGAGGAAGGTGCTTGTCTCCGGCTCCGATCGTAGTGATTGTGATGAGTTTGGAATTAGACATCAATTCTCGGCCAAGTACACTCCACAATCAAATGACCTTATTGAGAGGAAAAATAGAACACTCATTGATATGGTAAGATCTATGCTTAGTGAGTACAATTTGAGTCAATCTTTTTGGGCCGAAGCTATCAACATGGCTTGCTATTGTAGCAACCGTTTGTATTGTCACCCATTGAAAAACAAGACACCTTATGAACTCTTGAATGGTAGAAAGCCCAACATTGCATATTTTCTGGTCTTTGGTTGTAAATGCTATATCTTGAAGAAAGACACTAGATTAGACAAGTTTGACAAGAAATATGATAAATAATTCTTACTTAGATACTCCACTACAAGCAAAGCATATAGAGTTTGAAATTTCATAAGTGGTACTTTTGAAGAAGTTCATGATGTTGATTTTGATGAAACCAAGGGTTCACAAGATGAGAATGAGAACTTGAAAGATGGTAGATGCATTCAACATTCAAAAGCCATGAAGAACATGGATGTTGGTGAATTGAGACCTAGGCAAGTGATTGATGAAGAAGATGATCAAGTGCAAGTGCTCTCTAAATCAAATGTGCAAGATGACACTAATCAAGCAAGTTCCAGTGGCTCTCATGACAATAAACAAGATCAAGTGGCTAGTACATCATCTCAACCCAATGATCAAGCTAGTTCAAGCAATCAAGTTCCTTTTCTCCAACCAACTAATATTGCAAGGGATCATCCATTGGACACTATCATTAGAGATATTTCCAGAGGTGTACAAACTAGATCAAGATTGGCTTTATTTTGTGAGCATTTCTCATTTGTGTCATCTATTGAACCAAAGAAGATAGATGAAGCATTGAAGAATGTTGATTGGGTGAATGCTATGCATGAAGAATTGAACAACTTCACAAGAAATCAAGTATATGAATTAGTTGAGAGACCAAAGAACCACATTGTGATTAGAACCAAATGGGTCTATAGAAAAACAAGCAAGATCAAGATGGGATAGTAGTAAGACTGTCTCCAACAAGGAACTCATATGGGCACCCAAACCTAAAATGGGTAGCAAGAGACCCAAAATCAGCCTCCAACAGAGTACCTATACGGGAGACCTATTTTGGGTTACATAAGAGGTACAACCCAAATATGGGCATCCTCTCTCCTAGAATCCCATTTGCAGAAAGGATTCTCTTTTGGGTCTTGTTGTTGGAGAAGATACCGAATATGTATTGAACCTTTTGCCTGTAGCGCTACTCAAAGGATGAATGGGTCTTGTATTTTGGGTGTTGTTGTTGGAGATAGCCTAAGGAACAAAGCAAGATTGGCAGCACAATGTTACACTCAAGTTAAAGGTCTTGACTTTGGCAAAACATATGCCTCGGTTGCTAGATTGAAAGCAATTAGAATTTTTCTAGCCTATGCTTTTGCCCATAATATCAAGCTCTATCAAATAGATGTCAAGAGTGCATTTCTAAATAGCTACATCAATGAAGAAGGATATGTTAAGCAACCTTCCGATTTTGAAGATGACAAGAAGCCCGACTATGTGTACAAGTTAAAGAAGGCATTATATGGCTTGAAGCAAGCACCTAGAG